AATCCGTAAATATATATACATTACAACAATAAGTTTAAGATCTACTTCCTTGTTTTCTTCAAAATAAGATTGTCAATCGTAATTCTCTTGATGCCTGGGGTTAAAAATAAAATCAGCTAACACTTTAATTCTCATATCACATACTGACTACAAGTGGTTTATTAAGATCTTATCACAGTCCTATTTTTATTTTTAGGTGTGGTTAATGAGGACTGAGCTCATAGGATAGATTGGAAACGAGCAGCTGTGATCAGATCTGTGACCTAACAGCTCTGCAGCTTGCGCCTCATTGGTTGAATTTGGTGTGCCAGGCCAGTTGGCAGGGACGAGCGTCTCCTGCGTCTATCCTTGGGTTATTTTCTGACCATCTGTGCCCAGTCATTAACAGGCCTTTTCACAGTCAATTGTCTTGTTTCTCTGCTCTCTTTCTGTTAGTTACAGTCTACATGACCATGAGAATGGGGGCCATCTTTTTTTTCTGAGCTTATTTCCTTTCCTTTCTTTTTTTCTATGTAATCGGAGAAATTTGGAAGAGGCCATTTTATTAGCAGGGGGCCAAGGAGAGCTGGTGCAGACATAGGTTAATTCAAAGTGGCAACAAGGAGGATGCATCAAGCAGTGGAGATCAAATTACAGGGCAATGTGCTCAGTGGTAAGAAAAACAAGCCAGTGGTATGCTGCAGAATGTGTGCGTGCATGCTGGGAGTGTTTAACAGCAAAATGTATGTGAGTCTGGGAGACTAGAGAAGGAGAGAAAGAGGGGGGACATGAGGAGGAGGAGTGGGTGAGGAAGATGTCCACAGAAGGCCAACGAGGGGGGATGGGGGATGAAAGAGAGGAGGGGAGGAGACTAACTGGGCCAACATGCACAAATCACCCAGACCAATTAGAGTCACTCATCTTCCCATTTTGCCATTTCTGATGCTTACAGTAGTCAGGTCAGGAAATAACTGTACACATCACTGCAAAGGCGATGGCATTAAAAAAAAACAACAACAAAAAGGCTTGTCTGAAATGCATTTAGCCATTCCTTCTACTCGCCTTTGTTATTGGTCTTTGTGCAATGATTTGCCTAAGGACCCAGATTTCCTAGCAACAGCCTTCCACAAAAACATTTGGAAGTGGTTCAACATTTTCTCCCCCCCTCTCTCTCTTTCTCTCTCTATGTGTCTCTTTGTGAGAAATGGCAGTGCTGCCTCCTTGCTCTGCGTCTGCCACCAGCCCTGCTGCTGCTGCTGCTGCTGGATGATGAGCCAGTCTGGCTGCAAGAGAGAGAGAGGACTCTAATAATTCTGTTTTCATCCAATCACACCACATCGTAGCAGGCACCTTGAGAGAGCCTCTGCCAGGAATCATCAATCACCTTCTTAACATGCATGCCCCGATAGAGGCAGACACATGTGCAAGTAAATAAACGCGCTCACATGTACACACGCGTACACACACGTGCGCCTTTTTTGGGTAATTAAATTTACGGATCAAAGCGTACATGGCCGCAAAAACCACCCAGCAGCAGTTTAATACAAACAAAAATCAACAAGGCACATTAATACAGTGAAAAGGTTAGTGTAGAGAGATGGGGGAAAAAAATTTACAATCTGGCTGTAAATTAGGTAAATACATCTAAGTGCTCTCGACAAGGTTAATGGAGAGAGAAGGCCTTGGTGTATGCTAGTCTAGACACACCACACATTATTAAGTGGGAATAGCTGTGGCAGTGTATCTAGATAAGCACTTTACAAGTGCCAATGGGACTCTAATAAAGCGAATGATCCCGCGTTTTGACAAAGAGGCCCAAGAGGGATGCTGAACACCGCATTTTAGATTCCAAGCACTGACAAACACCCATTTGTGGCCTGACGACCATCAACACCACCCCTCCTCATCCCACGTCCCATCCCTTAAAATCCCATGGAAGCTTTTTTTTTCCCTGAGCAAAAGACTATCGGATGTGGGCAAAACCCAACTGCCAATTTGCAGAGGATGTGCCATGTTTGCTAATGTGAAGCAGAGGCTCCAAAAAATTAGACCATAAAAACTATGGACAATGGATAGACTAGCCCTTTTCATTTTCTTGACTTTTATTTGTCTGTGGACGCTAAACTATGAGATTACAGATACTACAGTATAGTTTACAGGCTGGAATCTCAACGTTTCAAGCAACACATGTGTGTATACAGTATACATATATATAGGGTCAAGACTTTAATAAGTTTATTTCAATTAATTATCTAGAAACATTTTAATGACCTAAAAAATAATCACTCAGTTACTTGCATTTCCTTTTATACATACTCAGGTCCCAAGCAGGAACTTTTGAACTCCTAATTTCTTTTACACGTGTAAATCAGATGCAAAAGCTGCATCACAGGCTACAATTTATGGGGATATTCATGCTAAAACCCATGGCTCGATCCAAGTACCTTAAATTGTTATGGATATTTAAGCATTATCCAAATAGTGCTGGCAGTTAGGATGGAACTAGGACTGAGACATGGATTATTAGCGTAGCCTCTTTTATTTTAACTGCTCTAAATGCTCCATATTGACTAGTAATTGTTGAGCTCCTAAAGGTAATGCTTTATGTAGAGCTACTGTAACCTTTCATAGTTTTGTCAGTAGTAACAAGGAAACTTTATCTTCCACTTACAGACAATATTGTATATCATATATTTTTGTATCATGTTTACAAAGAACAAGGACCTGTGCTATATTTAAAGTTCATATACTGTTCACATAAAAAAAACTAAACTATTATAACTTTCAATCAATCCGATATATAATACTCTAAATAATTGGATTGAAAATAGTAAATATATGTCTTTTTATGCTCGTATAAATATCCATTTAATGATTGAAGAGAAAAAAAAGCTTTTGAATAGAAAAGGTGGTTCATTTTGTTGATATGTGGTATTTGATTAAAATATGATGAATTAAATACAGACCATGTAATTAACTCGATTTTTGAATTGTGTCCCAACATTCCTATAAATATGATTAACTTCTAAGAACAGCACCTGGAGGTGACATCATAGTTGATCTTTCAAAGCATCGTTAGCATCTGGTGTGGATGAGTGCTGCAGCTACTCTGGCGACTACCTTTTTATTTCTAATAGGGTCAACATTTCCAACTGCAGCCTATTCTGCAACAGATGAAGTTGAAAGCCCAAAAGGACGAAACAGATCAAATTTGCAGAGCTACCTCCAGGCTTTGAGTTAAATTAATTCTCCTTTTCACTCATTTTAAAGGAAACAGTTTATTTTAAAATATGCTCTCATACAGTATCTTTGTGCCTCTTCTTCGATTTAACACTAAATGGAAAAATGAATCACTCAGAGGCTGCTTCTGTGATTAAAAACCACCCAACTTATGACTCAGTACCATGGTGTACCGTTAATAATAAAGGAGCCATTTTCTGGAGGCAGTTTTATAAAAAAAAAAACTAATTAAATAACTACAAGCCCACCCATATCTATGATGTAATAACGAAAATATTGTTTTCATATATCTTAACACTGAAATTAGCGGGTTAACGTGGGTTTTTCAAACATGGGTTGACCCACTAAAATCGGCTTTTGGCAAAAAAAACTGAGTCTAACCCTCTGCTGTAAAACTAAGTGGCGTCTGTCCCCTGAATGCTGCGTGTCTGATGGCAACATCACGCTGGGTTAGGGTTGATCATGTCACAGTGCGACAGAAATCAGGAAATAAAACATAAAAAAAAGTAAATAATCTAGAGAAACATGTAAGGAAACCAGGGCATAGTAATTGTGCGTTATGGTTTTGCTCTTTTATCTATCCGAATCTGTACCACCAGTGCTAGGCTATGTTTATCGAATGTAAATAGAGTTGTTTTGGCTTAGAACAGACGCCAATGGCGCAGTGTGTTGACGTCCTTACGTTGCCTTCAATGGTAACACGTAATTTAGACTGTCAACCTGCCTCTGCTGTGCTCGTCCAACACGTCTCTGCTTTTTGATGGATTGAAAGAAGTTTCAAAATTCAAACAGCCTTTTATCTTAAGCCAATGTAGAACATTTGGTGCCGATTTCACAATCGAAATTTCTAATTTTTGTCTCATCTAAGGTTGTCTTGGTAATGAAGTTCTTTTTGTTTTCCACAAATATTCTTGAGGCTTAAGCACCTCAAACTGCCTTTTAAGTTATTTCTGTTCACTTCAGAACTGACCAACTTAGAAAAAATATTTGTCCTTTGTTACAGTTTTTAAACCTTAAAGTTCAAGATGCCTCAAAAAGACAATGGCCTTTCAAATTTGCAGTAATCTAATCAAAAACCAATATTTATTGCTTTTCCCTTTCTGCTTGTGTCACTCCCCAATAGAAGGTGTCCGTAGGTGAGTCATATCCCCTCACATCCCAGACACCACTGTCTGTAATGCTGATTTATGCCGTTAATGAAGTGCCTAAAGACATGAAATGTGGTGTGATTTCAAGGCTATCAATGTGAACCGAGATGAAAGAAAATGTTGATCTGCAGGAATTATGTATAATCCCAAACAGTGAAACACGAGCATGGCAGGTTGTCCTGCTCCAGAAGCAGCAAGTGAAGATATTAACTCAGTCGTAGCATACATCTGTCCCCCTCAATCTGTATGTGTATGTGTGTATTTGAGGGGAAGATTGTGTAGGAGGCAAGCGGGGTAAAGCCGAATGAACTTGCATAATCAATTTTCACACTTTGGCAGCACCTGTTGGCTTGTCTTCATGTTAAAAGAAATGAATGAATACATTACATGTAGAACAATTTCACACTGTGCTGCAGCTTCATGCACAAAGACAGGGGTGAAATAGGGAAAATGGAGCTGTATTGTCTCAATAGGTAACATAGCTCATTTCCCTCGACAAAGGATGAATGGATATATTGACAATACCAAGGGCGTGCTGAGGCATTTCCTGAATAAAGCCTCTTAACATTTTGTCCTCCTCTGGCTAACAGAGTTGAGGAACAGTCACTCTGAATGTAGAGGGGTCTCACTTACCGCAATATAATAGACCTTGGCTTTCTCCACCAGCTCCCAGTTGCTGTCCAAGTCCAGGTGTTTTTCCTTTTTGTAGCAGTTTGCCGCTGCCAGGTTAGCAACAAGGGACCTGCCGAGACAGACCCCATAAATCTTTTGCCTCGCTTATCATCCATCTTAATTTTGTCTCAAAAACATCTTTTAAAAAAACCCAGAAAGGCTGCAGACTTTTCTTTGTTCTTTCACTATATAAAAAGAATGATAATAGTTTCCTAGAGCCTCTGCACCAAGGGGAAATAAAGTCAAGTAGACATCTCTATTTTCCCATTTTTTCAAAAGCAGGCTATTCTAAATCTCAAACATTAAAGTAGGAACACTAGGCCAGCTCCAAATAATTCATATTCTCACATCATCAGGAAAAGTGGCTGACAGTTAACAAAGGTGGAAAAACAACAAAAACATTAAATCAGCACTTTAGCAAAGAGATGGGAAGTGAAGCAGGTGGCCTTATCTTAACATAGCTCATTAGCCCCTCCTCATGTTCTTTTTCTTTATGAGCGGCCATCAAATTGAGAGCAGCCATCACAGCTACTTAGGGGAAAACTGTTATGCGACCATATGACAGGAGAGTGCTGCTACAGGAAGGGGGTCCGCTCTCACATGGCAACAAAAAGCTGCTCGCGCGGTAGTGTCACAGAGAGGAGTAGCAGTGCACTAAGTTGATCAGAGTGTGATGATGGAGGCTACTATGTGACAGCGGGACTGGGACCATGTTTGACCCAAGCTGTGGTAATGGACTGGAAGTTTGGGACCACACATGACAAGGGAAGTCAGTGTAATTACTGAGCAAGTCTGACAGCGATGAAAAGCCCAATTAAAGAACTAATCAGATCTGTTGGAATAGTTGTCTAAAAGGGTCATAATCTTGGTGCTGATGACTGGCTTGATTACTTATTCCATTTACCTGCCTAGCTCCGCCCAGTTTCCCATTACCACTCATCTGTTTCACCTACTTCAGTCTCTATTTAACCAGCCTTCATCCAATCATCATTGCCAGATTATTCGACCCCTTCGAGTGGGTCTTATAGTGAGTATTATTGTTTCTGATTACCTAATCCTGACCCATTCTGCCTCTGAGACGACTTTTACATAAAATAAAATAATGATTAAAATACATTTAACTTTATTGATCTCACAATGGAGAAATTAACTCTCTGCATTTAACCAATCCCCTTGGGGAGCAGTGAGCTTCCATTATGCAGCGCCCAGGCAGCAGTCAGGGGTTAATGGTCTTCCTCAGAAACCAAGAGTGGCAGTCTGTATGAGTGGGTTTCAAACTCACAACTTCAGAATTCCAAGCCCTATGCCCTAGCCACTAGCCCGCCAATCCCCACTAAGGCCACCACTCCTCACTTTTCCCTTCTGATCTGTTTGCCAGAACTGTCTTTGGACTCCTGCTGGATTCTGCCTATTTATCGAACCTGGAACTGCTTCCTGACACCGTCCTGGATCTCCCTTCGAAACCTCTTTGGATCTCTGATCTTCTGGCCCAGACCCTTGTGAACCTCCTCGACACCGACTTTGGCTTTGCCTTCTGGATTATCCTGCTTTCCTTCAGCTGCTTGGATCTGATCTCCTGCCTGTTCTCCGGGGCTACAACTTCTCTGACTCTCTGGTCAGCTTCTGCCGCATCTTGTTGGCAGCCGACCGGAATCTACCTCGTCCTCTGGCCACGGAATTAACTTTAAGACCAGGTTAGTGACTCTAAAATTCATAATCTTGCTCCGCCAGATTGACGTGGTCACTAGCCTGTTTTCTTCCTGCAGAGGTTCCCGCCTTAGACGCCAGTTGCCAGTTTTTTAGAGGGGGAAATATTAAATATTGAAAATAAATTTCCAGAGATACTTTTAAATCAAAAGTTATTACAAGTCAAAAAGTATTCATAAGTCAACCAAACAAAAAAACTGAAGTCATTCTATGCAGACCTCTTCATTAGGGTAGACTGCATGTAAGAATATTCATTTTGGTCATAAAAGACTTAAACATCTTTGGCGTTATTCCACCTAAAAACTAAAAACTTAAGTTGGGACACAATCTCAGGAGCTGTCAAGAAAATGAGCACTATAGTATGTTAAAGAACACAATTGGGTTGCATTTCCTACCAAATAACATGTAGTTTGGCATTTCTTTCCAATTTGCTCTGGTTTCAAGCCATTAAGATCATTAAACATACAAATGCCATCAATTGTAATTAAATATTGGACTGAAAGTATAAGTAAATACTTATTTATACTTATTAAAATTACATTAAAAACATTCTCCTTTCAAGCCATATCTCTCAGTATACGTCTAAATGGCAGAAGAATTAATCATATGCATTTCTGTTCTGACACTAAACTGGTATAAACAGGAAAACTACCTGACTAAAAATATACACCATGTCACTGTTATTGAATTACAGCCCATGATAATTATACCTGATGCTAATTAAGCCAATTTTAATTGTTATATTTCAGCGCTTAAAATTAATAGTAAACTGCAGCAATCAACATAATAAACCTTCTTTGTAACTGAGCCAAACATGATTGGATTCAGCAGGCTTATAATGAGTCAGAAATGTGTGAAATGGTCATGGATTTTAAACAAAAATAGACTTTTACATCCCGATTATTTAAAAGTATTATGGTTATTCGTTTTAACTGAATTAGGAACTGATTTCTTTTTTTTATATACTTTAAAATTGAATTTGGGCTGCAATCATACAGTGTAAGAAATTCTTGGTTTGCTGATTAAATGTTTGATTGGACATTTAAGAGTTGAACAAACTTAGTCATTGGTCTCTAAAATTGGACTGTTTTAATGCGTTGTAGTCACATACTCGAACCCAGATATGAGAAAGAAAAGTAGACTTTTTTTTTCTAAGTGTGAAGCCTTTCACTAATCAAAGCCTGAGAGGCTGTGACATGTCAGCTCCCAGTTCTTCAAAGCCATCATTTTTCCAATCTGGCCCAGTCAGTGACCTTTCCTCTGGCCTCCTGAGCTCTCTGTTAAACACCTGTAAGAAATATTACAGAGTTCACCTCCTCGAGCACAGCACCTGACCTTTTCAGGTGTCAAAGCCCACATCAAACAAGCCCACTAAGACCATTCGCAGGGGTTTGCTGCCGGGGTGGGTTGGGTCCGGCTGTTGACTGACTGACAACTGTGGTATCTGTCAGTTGAAAAGGCTGCCTGGGAGAGGAGTGTTTAGAAATGAGGGTTATTGATCGCCACCAGGGCTATCATGAACTGCAGCCCTTAATGTTAGTGATATTTGTGTGTCTGAGCAGGAAGGTTTGACCTCTGCTGTCTCAGATGTGCTGATCATGATACAAGTACCAGAGTCACCTGAGACGCTAAAACCCCTTTTTTACAGGCTGACAGGTGAGAAGTGGGATAGCCAAAGAATCTCTAACACATTGCTACTGTCAGCCTATAGATGGATGACAACCCACTGGGGTGGCAGACACTGAGTGGGGCCCAAAAAAAACAATTTCGAGCTGTTCTTTTTTCCCTGTGATGTGTGAGCTGAGCTATGATGGAGAAGTCAAAGGCCTGGAGAAGAAGAGGCTCTGTCAAATCAGAGATAAAGTGCTGTTTATTGGTGGTAGAGGCCAAAGAGGAGACTGACCTATTGTCTCCAGTGATGCAGGCTGCACAGGTACCAGTCGGCTCTTCGTTCTGCTCATAGTAATGGGCATCCACATGGGCTTCCTCTGCCTTCTTCTTCAGGATCTCGCCAAAATTATCTTTCCCAATGCACCCAAAGAAGGTAGCCACCTTGTGTGGTTTCTGGAGCATCCACTAGAAAAGAGGAAATAAAAACAGTACAGAGAAGTGCTCAGTTTACAAATACTAGTCTGTTTGGAGGGTCAAGTTCATCTAAGGCAGATGGCATGCAAACTGTAGCTTCACAGCAAACATACTGCCTTTGATATACGAGAGCTGTGAGCTGTCGTAAACAACCCAAAAGCAATCCTGCTGCACACAGAGAGACTATTCTCATCCAAGCACTCCTCCTTCCACCCGGTGTGCTAAAAACAGTCTCATCTCCTTATTTACACACACCCAACAATTTAAGGCTACTTCCTTCTTATGCAAACACAGACTGTGTGTGAGCCTGTAGCTGCTGAAGAATATTTTTTTTTTTCTCCCGTTCCTGACTGTGTTGATGTACTCAGTGACTTTTACCTGACTGGGCTGCTTGGATCCAACACAGCTCAGGTTTAACCTCCAAAGATTTATTGACGTGCAGTACGTGCTGCTGTTTGCTTATTTTATTGCAGCCTCCTGTTTTGTTGCTGACGGAGGGACCCCTGTGAATGAGACGTTGCTGCTTTTGGAGATGACCCGTATATGTGTGAAATTAATCATTTCATGCCACAAAACCTGTATCTCATCTTAGAAGAAAACTGCTTTTTCATCATTTGTCCTGAGGTCCTTTTGTTATTTCACACATCTACCTACCTGGCCTGAGATAGAATTGTTGGAACACAATATATATAGAGAAACAAAGGAGCAAAACTACCCAAAGAGAGCTTATCAATATGACTTTTAACTTTAAATACTGAATATAACAAAAATATGGAAATCAAAAGTTAAAGTTCTATACATTATGTGTTACAAGGTTTTATTTTAATGATGTCATGTTAAAAATTTGCCACCAAATGTTCTCCGTCTTTTCAAAGTGGCGGTGAAATTGTCATTCTATATGAATTTTTATAACTTATGATTGTTTTTAAAAAAATTTTAATCATTTCTGTTATGTTTCTGATGGTGCTTTAATCTATCGTTACCCTATTCATCAATTTGCTTTGAAGGTCCTGTTTTATGCAGATATGAGCGGTAATATGAGTGTTACATGTACTTATTTAAATCTATTTTTTTAAAACACTTAAAATTGGAGTTTTAAAATTTCAGAAAATTAAGGCTTTTGATTAACTTTAATCTTTCCCTTTTTACAAAGAGCAAAGTAGTACAGCGGCATGTTTTGCTAAAGTGATACATTAATAATTGTTTCAAAAAGTGGAATGCAGATGCTTGGGGACTAATAAAAATAAGTGCTGTCATTTTAAAATGTTTAACTATTTCATCCTGATAACAAAACAGCTTGTTCAAAGGTCAGAGTTTCTTTATTCCATTTATTCTGGAAAATATTTGCAAAATTGGAAAGATCTGAAGAGCAGGCAAGTCCCCCCTTTTCGCTAAACTGATATATACTTCTAGGGCTGGGCGATAATTCAATAACGATATATATCGATTGATAGACGTGTGGCGCAATAGAAAAAAGGAGGGTCGATAAAAGTTCGATAAAAAATAAACGCGGTTTTCCTTCCTTCTCATTGTAGCCTAGCATGTAGGTTTATGCTAGTCACTGCTTCCTCCCAACCAATCACAATCGCGGACCCAGGCACGCCGTCACAAAGCGCCGCCCTCTCAAACCACAACACAGAGCACATGAAGATGCAGCAAGGAGAGGCGGAGGAAACTGTTTCAAAGAAGGGTTTTTGTATTTCGGCAGTCTGGCAGTATTTCGGTCATGGCATGTCGGACCAAAAACAAACCACAGTCATCTGGAAAATGTGTCGGGAACCAGTGAAAACGAAGTCTGATAACACAACCAACTTTTTTTTTTTTTTTTTTATCATCTCAGCCGCTCACACCCGCAGGAGTACGAGCTGTGTAGGCCCCGGCGCGGCTCTCCTCCGAGGAATCTTCGGAAAATATATATATATTTTCAGTTCTGGGCAGTTTCCCACGTAGTTCTAACAATTGAGATAAAAATGCTGAGGGGCCAGAAACTTCAAAGTAATAACTGAGGTTAAAGCAGGAAACGGGGGCGGCGGCGGCGGTGGGGGGGGGGCATTTATTTATTTGTTATATTTATTTTGGTCACTTTTCTGATCACTGTAGTTTATTCTTTGTCAGTATTTATAACATAACTCAGGTCTCTTAAGTTATTTTTCTTTAAAACAATTCTGTTATGGCTAAAAAAAGTTGGTTAAATAAATATTTAATTGGAAGTCTGTGTTTGTGTTTTTTATTAAAATTAAATCATTTAGCAATATTATAAAAAGTCCAGGCAGAGCACATAAAATATGGTTTCAAATCTTTTCAATAATTATCGATATCGATCAATATGCATTTCTTTTTATCGATAAGCTTTTTTTCTATATCGCCCAGCCCTATATACTTCCTTTGTGATAAGTGATAATATAACTAATGGTGGCATACAGTGTCATAAAAAAAGTTTCTATACTCCTTAAAAAACAAAGACACATAAAAAAGCCCAGAAAAAAAAATCTTTTTTTTGGTTTGGTTTTTGATAGAAAGGGTCCAAAGACAAAGTGCATAAATTTGAAGTGGAAAGTAAAAATACAAGAAACAAAAAAAACATATTTCTTGCTCCTGCTGCATTAAAGCAGATGCACAACATCATGCTGCCATCACCATGCTTTACAGTGAAAGCATCTGATTGCATTAGATCCTATTTAAGGGTATACCATTAAAGGGGGTTAGAGTACAAGAAGAAGGGAAAACGCCATTCTTTTTCCTCCACAAAAACTAATAAGTTCATAATTATTATCAATGAATATGTGTTGTGCCAGACATGAAGTCTAAAATGTAAACTGAAATGTGTTCAAATTTGTTGTGAAAGGATTTGTAACAGTTGTTATCATTGACATTTAATATCACTGAAGCTTGAAAATACGGCCGATTACTTTTCTGATGCCACTAAACAATTTTAATAAACATACCCAGCAGACAAAAATGTGATATTTTGAATTCGGCACTGGAGGCAGGCTGGACTGTCACCTTTCTCCATCCTCAAGGACACAGCATTCAAGACTTGTTATAAACAAATTGGATTAAAAAATAAAAGAAAACCTCAGTTATCCTTTAAAAAGCCTGGTCTAAATAAAAAAATGGTCTTGTAATTTTCTAGAAGGTAAAATTATTATATGTGACCTGTAGTCCTCGATCAATCCAGAGACAACCTCATGATATATTATTAAACTCAGTACTGGCTTCAACTCTTTATTCTACAGCTAGATTAATATTAATATAAACTGTGAATCAGTGGGTTACAAAATTTTCAGCTTCTGCTAAAAACAAAACAACCGTCAAACCCTTTGTCTTTTCCAAATAGTGTCATTTACAAGCACTAAGGCCTTGTATTTTATTAAGAGTTTATGTGATATAAAATTAAGTGAACAGCACAGGGTTTCATTTATAAAAAAACATTTATTTTTATTTTTTCCTTTAATAATAAGATAGGATATGGAAATAATTTGTACCAAATCTAGTGCAACAAATTATATCAGGGAGTCACACATATAAACAAGTCCACTTGTTAGTAATTCAATCGCAGTAGAAATGCTGATGCTCTGTGACTTCAGACAAGGTTCAATTTTTAAAATGCACGGAGTGAAAAAAATATAATTTTTTTGCTATCAACATTGATGCTCTATGTTTGAACACTTAAATAAAATCCAAACATGTTAAAGCATGTAGCTTTCTAAGGACATAACATGAAAAAAGTAAGAACTCTGGCTAAGGTGTACTTTTTCTTTTAATTTATACATGCTATTTTTATGTGGCCCAAGACCCCCTTTTAGGCTTTTTACAACACACAATGGAGTCCAACTTTTGCAGCCACTGCCAGGTAGACAATAAAATTCCCAAATTGTTTGCAGCTTAACACCAAGAGTTGTTACTCATTTAACACAGAAGTATTTGACCACACACAGTCATTCACAGTTTGATCAGCCTCTCACTATTTTAGCTCCGTAAACTCTCCCTGGATGCACTGTCAAAGCCCAGTCCTGTCACTAACCTGCTGCCAAGTAGCCTAATTAACCAAGAGATGCAATGAAGGCTGTTTTGGATCAAGTTACGGGAACAAAAGAGAACATGAGCAAATAGTTATTTACGCATTATTTCCAGGATTAAATTGCTCACTTAAGTCTTCTATAATGTTATGAGATTTCAGGTAATTATTGGTTTCTTAGTTTTTTTGGAGACCACCAAAACCACCCATTTCAAGAACAGAGTTGTACCCTTCTCTCCTCATTGTCAAGCTAATATACATATGCTCATGTGTACTCACTAGAGACAAACTTTAACAGGTTTGTATTTTATAATGTGAGGTCCTGTAAAACGATCATAAGTTATGGTTAGCGTCACCAAATGGGATGAGTTTGTTAAGTGAAGACCTACTCAGAGCAGTGAGAGGCCATCACTGGCAAATCAGAAATTAGCTTCTGATCTAAACAATTATTATGCTCTAAAATAAGTAGAAATTTATATCTGTCCAACACACTTTCTAGATATAAAATAGCCATAATTTCAAGACAGTCTCTAAAGTTTATCGCTGTGTTCTCAGATGAATAATGTCATTCCCTTACAGTGTCAATCAACGCAACACTTGCATGCTATGCATTGCAAAATGATGCAGATGTTGTCCAGATGGGAAAATAGTAGCACATTAAAATCAGCATTAAGTTATATTTTTCCTCAGTATATCCTCCTCTAATTTGCTTGGGGCATGCATCTTCCAGAAAGCGACAATGCTGTAGCTGTGAGCTGTGCAGCTCATGGAGAGCAGTCAGTGTTTACAACGGTGCTGCTTTTAAAAAGTCCTGTAGGGGGAAATTATTTAGTGCTGCATTAACCACTCTTTTGTGAAAGTGTAGAAGTTGAATATCCACTAATACAGTATTGTATTACTATATTAAAAGGAGCGCATTCAGATAGCAGTCAGACTTCTCAGAGCTGCTTCTGCTCTTTAACCCCAAAAGTGG